AAACGTGAAAACGGTCGATCGCGGGGAAACGTGCGTGGTACGCGCGACACGGAGCGGGAAGGACTTTCGTCCAGGACGGGTTCGATGCGCGCACTGGGGATGAGAGAGAGCCAGGGAGCAACCCTGAGAACAGAGAACGCCGACATCCGCCGCTTCGAGCGACAGAGAGGATTGGCCAGGCTGGTGCCGGAGCGAGAGAGCCAGGGGGCGGTACGGCAAGGGAGAAAGAGAGAGAAAGAGGAAGGCGAAACAGCGCAAGCTTAAGCTCGCTACCGGGCTTCTAAATACGCATACGACATAGTAGCGCACACCAGCTAACCGTGAACGAGTCCCGATTCCGGAATATCGAATGCTCTAGCGGCGCGTCGTTTGTTGTCCCGTTTCCGAGAGGGGCTCGCTACGTTTTCGTTACTTTTCTTCTTCCTTTTTATTTATTTTTTTTTTTTTCGTTTCTCCTTTTTCATTTCATTGCTTGACGCATCTGTCGCGTTTCTTTCGGACCGCTTCGAGCTTGGAACTTGAAAATTCTGGATATCGAAATGATGAACAGAGCGAAACGAAGGCGTGAAACATTGCGGAGGATAAACGGGCCAGAAAATAGTCTGTACTGTGTCGGCTGTACCAAGACTCTCTGAGAGGGCGCATCTCCCCCAAAGGAAGGAACCAGCGTTTAGCGGTCGATTTCGAAAAGTGCACTCTTCCAACGTCCCCCTTCTGTCTCGTTCTCTCCCTCTATCTTTGCTGGTGTTCCCGTTCTGTGAGTCACCGCCACCTGCTGTGACCCAGTTCCCCTAGGCAACCTTACAGCGCTCGGTTTGTCCTAAATTTCGTGCGTTAACAAGCCCGCTTCGCCGGTTGAATTAATAATTAATTATTATCGGGCCGTCAGTTGAATCTCTAATCAAAGAAAAATAGTTGAGTGCGGGGCAAATTAATCGGTGGCGGAACGGTTTAGGTCAGAAACGGTAATTGAAGCTCGCACGCGAACCAACGACTGGCTTCATCGGCCGTTGATTATTCACATCGACGTCGCTGGATCGTATCAATCGATGATTGTTTCATTTGGAACGAAAGAGCAATTTTATTTTCTCGTTACCTTCCTCGAGGTGAGGCTCGACAGTGTCGCGAAACGGAACAGGGCGGTGAACATCGTCGCCGATTACATTCAACCGACGTTTACACGACGATCTTGTGCCAAAACTTCGCAGTTCGTTAAACCGCGACGAGGCAGAGAAGAATATTAGAAGTCACACGATTCGCAGGAAAAGAGTTTCAGTTAAAAACGGGAAGAGAGACAGCGATAAATCACTCGTACGTGACGGCACAACTGAATATTCGTACAAATATTGAAATACCTATCGTGTCGCTTTTTTTTTGTTTTGTTTTTTTTTTTTGGAGTAGAGTATTGAGTATCAAATGGAACGGGTGGAAAATTTTTAGTAGAACTGTATGCTC